TTTTCTCAACACAATCTGTTGAAGAGAAAGAGTTATCTTTCTAATAATTAAGATACCATCAATGCTACAGTGTTGGTCATTTCAAGGCTGGCAAGTCTCAAATTGTGATTAATTTTTTTCAGTATTCTAAGATTTTGGTGTGCAAGAAGGCATTTGCTTTTTTATTTAAAAATGTTTTAAATTTTATTTCAGAAGTAATAGATGTTCATTATAAAATTTATATAATAAAGGTAAACAAAAAGGAGAAAATAAGAACAGAGAAAACCACAGATAAAACTTTCATTTCTATTATAGGGTTTGTTTCTTCTCTCTTTTTAAATATCTTTCAAGATATGTCATATTTATCTATGTTGGTATTCTGCAACACAACTTTTAATGGCTGCATAGCACAACACATCTGAAGGTACCATAATTTATTTAACCAAATCCCTATTATACGATGTTTTAAAACTGCACTGTCCAATGTAGCAGGCACTAGCCACAAGTAGCTATTTCAATTTCAATTAATTAAAAGTAAATAAAATTTATAATGTAATTCCTCAACCATACTAGCAACATTTCAAATGCTCAATGACCACATGTGGCTAGTAAGTACTGTACTGGACAGCACAGATATAAAACAATTTCTTCATCACAGAAAGTTCTGCTGGACAAGACTACTTTACAATGTTTCCAAATTATCCCTACTATAAATAACTCCAAAGTTATTGTAAATAAACTTTAATATATAGCTCTGACATTTTCTCTGGAATAAATTGAGCAAAACCAGTTGCAAGTTCAAAAGGCGTACAAATATTTACACTTTTTGAAACACTGAATACAGAGAAATGTCAATTTCCTTTGGTACCTTAATAATTAAAAAATAGTGTCTGTTTAAAAGCTGAGTTGATTCGATTACGGGTATGGTGAAACAGGAAAGAGAGAGACTAAGGTCTCTGGTGACCAGTCTATAGAGATGCTACAAATACGGTAGTCTTTGTAAATACTAGTATAGTAGCAGCAGTCCGTACAGAAAGAGATATTGTCACATTTACATTGTCTCCAAGTAATATTTATCTTCATCAATCCCACTTTAGAGCTAAAAATGAACATCTCTTTATTGTCCATTTGAGTTTGTTTATTCATGAACTAACTTTTCTCAGCACTTTTTCTTTATTGTAGTGATCACCTCTTTCCTATGATCTTAAAAGAGCTCTTGATATAGCAAAGATATGAAAACTCTGTTTTCCAAATACATTCCAATATATTTCCTTAGCCTGTAACTTGCCTTTTAATTGTTATGAAATGTAGCAGGTTAGCATTTATATAAAAATTAACACCTTTTTCTTTATGCTTCCTGTTTTGTATGAAATGCTTAGAAAAAAGGCTTTCCTGATTACATATTTGACCATTTTTTAGTACTTTTATAGTTTCATCTTTTACATTTAAACACAGTTATAAGTTATACCATATAAAATAGATACTGGCATATGATGTAAGGCAGAAACTAAAAGTAATTTTTCCCCCCAATGTTAGAATATTCCCAAATCTTAATACAACTTTAAGGGGTAAAAATTTACAATATTGGGCCGGCCCGGTGGCGCACTGGAGAGTGCGCCGCTTGCGAGCGCGGCGGCACTCCCGCTGAGGGTTCGGATCCCATGTGGAGACTGGTTCCCGCTCACTGGCTGAGCGCGGTGCAGGCGCAACACCGAGGGTTGCGATCCCGTTACCGGTCAGTAAAAAAGACAAAAAGGAAAAAAAAAATTTACAATATTATTCACCCAAATTACTGCACCAGCATCCAATTCAGTCACCCTTATCTGGAATAAGAAAATGGCATTTTTGTATTTTAAAAATTCAGTTCACAGGGTTGGGGTTTTTTTCCCCCCCAGAAAATACAATTTCTACTCAGTCTAGGCATTAGACCTTATATTTTCTCCAAAATAAAGAAAAAAAGGGGCTACATGTAAAGAATTTCAGGAGAAAGGAAAAGTATACAAGAAGAGCCAAAAGACTGAGATCTATTCCTAGATCCATGAAAGACTAACTGTATTGACCAATCCACTTTCCTTCCAAAAAAATAAAGAAAAATTTCCTGGAAAGAAGCCTCAAAGACAATGCTACAGCAAACATTTTCCTCCTCTTAGTACTCACACCAGCATATTTTCGTACTGGCAGGAACAACAGTGTTTTCAATCAATTTCCTGGAAAGAAGCCTCAAAGACAATGCTACAGCAAACATTCTCCTCCTCTTAGTACTCACACCAGCATATTTTCGTACTGGCAGGAACAACAGTGTTTTCAATACATAAAATTAAACAATTGGTAGTTTTGTCTCTTATTTACTGCTTCATTATGATTTTATTAGTCTCAGAAATAACCCAGTCATGTTTTATTAGGGGCAAAGTTGCAACTTCTACTATTTGTTTTGGTTTTAAAAGCAAATAGCATTGATGAACCACAATTACTAAAATTCTGTAAGTTCCACATTTCCAAATGAACACTTATTTATTATTTTTAAAAGACAATTCCTTCAAAGATAAATTATAAAGCTCTGATAAGAAAAATTATCCCCTCCCCAAACAACTTTCCCTTCAGGCAGAGAAAATCACTTCTACCACAGTTCCAAATAATAATTGATACATTTCTCCACTGCAACATTTATCACATTATATTCCTACTACTTTTAAGTATGTCTCCCTATCCTTCTAGCCTGGGAGCTCCCTGAATTCAGGCCAACCCCTATATATTCTTCCCCCATCTCCAGTCTCATCCAAGAATTGGCCAAGAGCCTGATAAATAATGGATGCCACAATGTCAGCTTGTCCAAAAGCAACTGCCCCCCTTTCTAATCATCTAATATGCTTATTTGTTTTTCATACTCCTCCTATGAATACCTATCACAAACAGTGCTCTTTTTTACATGAAGATATGGTTTATTAATAAGAGGTTAAAGTATCACCCTTCAAACTGTCACACTATATTTTAGCAAAGTACTTACACATACGTGAAATAAAATACTCTTATGAGAAAGGTTATTAATGTTCACATTTTACAAACAGGAAAACTGAAGCTATAAGAGTTTAGAAACTTGCCCAAGGTGACAGCACTAGTAGATTATAGGGTTAGACACTAAATGAAGATTTCTAACTCCACATAATGTACTTTTCACTACATTGAGCATAGAGTTTTCAGACAAATAACCTTTTAACAAAGCATCAGTTGTACTCGAAATACTTACACTGACCCCAGTGCCCTGTTCTTGGGTTCAAATAATTTGGATAAAGACCATTTGGACGATCCATTTTCTGAAGCAGTTTCCGAATGTGCATGACCTAAATAAAATTAAGGATACAATTAACAAAAATAAATGTCATCAAGACTTGAAACCAATTTAGACTTTGTGTGTTTTCCTACACCCACCACCCCTGCCTTTTATTTATTTATTTCATGTATGTGTGTGGTGGCCAACAGGCTTCTATTTTTAAATGACTCATTATTTTTAAGTGATAAATATGATCATTATTTAAAAATCAGGCAATAATAAAAGAAATACAAAGAAAAGAGCACCATTTTAAATCCCAACATTCTACTATCTAGAAATAGCCATCAGAAACATCAGTGATAAACACCATTCTAGACATATTCAATATGTACATGTTCAAATATAAGAATGGAAATAATTTCACAGAAATGGAATCATAACAATTGTACAAAAAATATTAAATTAATTTGAATTTAATAGATGAAAAGAGTAAAACCAAATTGCTGAACTTTAACTATTGTTCCCATAGTAGATATCCCTAAATTCCTAAAATTCCAATTCCTCAAAGATTTCATTGAGGTTAAGGGGAAAAAAAAATCATAAAACATTAAGAGGAGACTTTCCCAGGGTGGGATGGGGCACAAAGGTGCTCTATTCCTTATTGTGAGAATGTTATCTTCACATTTGATGGGTAACCTGGTTGGAATAAATGACTTGGGAAAACTTTTTCACAGGACTTATATATACCTCACTTTTCTGGGACTTGAGCACAACACTAATCCTTTTACTACAAAGATGCCCATCATCTTTCATTTGGTTAGATTTTGTTATCAAGTAGTTTTAGGAATATGCTCAGGGATGTTATTTATATTCCCTGTGTTCTTTTATTGTTTGAGACCAACATTAGGTACAACAATCTCAATCTGAATAATTCCATGTACCAGTTTTAGACAGTTCTGAATGATGTTATGAAAGATGAGAAAATGAACACTCTTTGTCATCTGTAAGTTACACATAATATTAAATTCTCTCTGCCTCTCTTCCATATGAGAGGTCTTCAAAAAGTTCATGGAAGGGCCAGCCCCATGGCTCACTCGGGAGAGTGCGGCGCTGGGAGCGCCAAGGCTGCAAGTTCGGATCCTATATAGGGATGGCTGGTGAGCTCACTGGCTGAGCGTGGTGCGGACCACACCATGCCGAGGGTTGCGATCCCCTTACCGGTCCAAAAAAAAAAAAAGTTCATGGAAAAGTTCATATTATATTTTAATTCTATTTTTCCATGAACTTTTTGAAGCACCCTCTTTTTATCTACTTTTTAAAAATTATTTTTTCTATATACTTACTGGCTTTTCTCAATTTTGTCTTCTAAGTCACTATATTTTGAGCATTGTCTTTCTTTATATTGCTTCCATTTTGGCCTTTGTTTTGATGAAAACTTTATTTTTTCTTATACTTTATAACTGATATCACATTACTGTCGAGCACTTGTATCTCTTTACATACTTGTTCTACAGAGATGAGAGCCTTACTATGATCTCTCTTATGGTGATATTTGGTCAAGATTTTCAATTGCTCTTTTCTGATAAGAATCTTTTGTCTACTAATTTTTCATCTTCCTTCCTCCTTCCTTTTTCCTGGTAATGTCTTTGTATAAATTTTGTACTTGTTCTTTTTTGATGAATTACTTATTACTATTTTTCTTGAACCAGCTATTTACAAGAAAGTTCTGACATAAAAGAGCAAGTAGAGTCCAGATATAAATGCATTTTTTTAGCCTTAGCTTCTTCCCAGCCAACAGATTGGCAATGCAGTGCTGCTCGTAATAGAGAATCTGTCATACATTCCCTTCACTCACCAAAGTTCAGACACAAATATAGCTTGTTAGATTTCCTCACTCAATTCTGTTTTTCTAGTTTCTCAACACATTATCTAGTGGGGTCCAAAGAAGTATTCACCATCATCCTGTGATATCATTCTCATTATTGCTAATAAGGCTTTTGGTTTTGTATCTCAAGATGTACAATTTAATTTAGAGAATGGTACTCCACTGGCTTTACACTTTTTAAATCTGCAGCCACAGAGGTCCTCTCTTCAGTTTCCCAGAGCTCACTCTAACCTTTATTGCTTACGCCAACCTTTCTTCCTATTTTGTAATATTAAGTATTAAGTATCTCTTACATTTGTTAAAAATGGAATTTGCAGTTCTGTTTCTTCTTGTTGTTGCTTTTAGGTGATTTCTATTTGGTAGGTCCTCAACTTCAGAAACGCCCATATGTTAGCTTATCTTTCTTTTACAAATTTATTTTCTTTTTAATCTTTTTATGCTTCTCCTTTGTTTTTACTATGATTATCTCTTGCTTTTATTCCATGTCAGTAATTTGGTTTTCAGCTATGTACAGTGAGTTCTTTGTTTTCATTTTAATAGCTATAAAAACATACTGTTTTAGGTTTCAATTTGTTTCTTTATGTCTACAATCTTTTTGTATCTTTTTATTATCTTATTTTGTTTCTAAGTTCTACTTTACTAAATTCCACTTTTATTATAGTATGAGTTACCAGTCATGGTGACTTTTTTAGCTAAAAATTCTTCTCAATTGATGAAATATTTCATACACAAAAATGAATATATATAATTCTACTCACACCCCAATTTAATAACTACAACACTATAAAAACCTTTGATAGTCTATTTACTACTACCAATTCACATAACACTGCCTATATCACAGATGTATTTATAGTCCCGAACTTCACATTTGTCTTTATCTTGACTTTACTAAAACCACTTTTGAGTCCCTAAACAATATACTGTTCAACTGTTTATTTTGAACTTTATAAAAGTTTACTATATTATTTTAATTGATAAATATAACCATAATTAATTTATTATATAAATTATTAGTACAAATAATGCTTCTATGTATATGATGTAAATATACATATCAAAGAATGGAATTGCTGGATTGTGGGCTATTTTTACTAGATAATATTTTTTGTTTTCTGTTTTAAAAATTCTTTTTTTTTTTTTTTTTTTTTTTTCACAAAGGCATATATTTTTTATTCTAAAAGTGTCAAAGTTTTATCTTTTAAAGTTAAGCTTTTAATGCTCCTGGAATTAATTGTTATAATCCACAATGCTACCCTCATCATAACAAGTTTCCACATATATGTGGGTCTGTTTGAGGGCTATTTATTCTATTCATCAGTCTATTTGTCTCTGTTCACTAATATTACATTGTCACTGCTGATAACTGGGTAATGCAAACCCACCCAACATGTTTCTCCTCAGGAGTGTCTTGAATGTTTCCCTTCTATAAATATTCTAGAAGTGTCTTGTCAAGTTTCATTTTCAAAAAAAGAAAGCCATTGGAGACTGTAGTAGTCCATTTCTGTTGCTTATAACAAAATACCTAGAACTGGGTAATTTGTAAGAAAACAAAATTTATTGCTCAGAGTTTTGGAGGCTGGGAAGTCCAAAGTCCAGGGAACACATCCGGTGAAAGCCTTCTTTGGTGGTGGCTTTATAGCAACACAGTGTCTCACCTGGCAGAATGGTGAAGCAGAGAGAGACTCTCATGTGCTCTCCTCTAAAGCCCTCAGAACCATGCCCCTGACCATTATTAATCCATTTACTAGAGCACTGTCCCACAATCTAATCACCTCTTCAAGGCCCCACCTTTCAATTACCATAATGGGACTTCCCACCCTCTTAACACTGTCACAGTAGGGACCAAGCCTCCAACACATTAAACTTTTGGGGAGACATAATTCAACCCATAATAGAGATTTAAATGGCACTGAACTGATGCTACAGGTCAATCAGGGGGGGACTGAAATTTTTTAATATTGTTTACCTGTACATTCATTTAGGTCCTCTTCAGTGTCATAACAGAGTTCTGAACTTTATCTTTTGTTAGATTTTTTTTTTTTCCCTTTTTTGTCTTTTTTCCTGACTGGCATCGGATCGCAACCCTCAGTGTTGCGCCCGTACCGGACCGCGACCGGCAACGGTATCGCAACCCTCGGTGTTGCTCCCGCACCTTGCTCAGCCAGTGAGCAGCCGGTCTGTATGTGGGATCCGAACCCTCAGCGGGAGCACCACCACACTTCCCAAGCGGCGCACTGTAGCAGTGCGCCACCGGGCCGGCCCCTTGTTAGATTTATTTGTAGGAAATTTACACTTTTCTTTCTACCACATAAGGTAACTTTTCATAAAATGATACTTTCTTACCTTCCGTAGGTAGTGCAGAAAAATGCTACGATTTTTAGTATTTATATTAATCTTTAAGTCAAAAAACATATTAAACTCCTATTTCTAGTATTTTTGTTTGTTTTCCGTGGGTCCCCCCCCCGCCCCCCGGCAGTTAACCACTGCAGGGATCCAAACCCTTTACCTTAGTGTTAATCAGCACCACATTACACCAGGTGAGCTAACCAGTCAGCCTATTTCTAGTAAGTTAAATTAGACTCTCTTAACATTTAAGTAGATAATCATGTGATTTGAGAATAATTACTTTTCTTTCTTCCTTTTCAATTCTTAAAACTTTTGTTCATTTTGGGTTGGTTTTTGTTGTTGTTGTTTTACCATGCTGGCTAAAAACTTCAGCACAATGCTGATTAGAAATGGGAATGAAATTTTTTTAAAAATCTAAGTGGTTAAAACTTCTCAAAATATTTTAAATATATTCTAAGTAGAAAGGACATTTCTTTGGACAATTTAAAAAGAAAAAAAAATAAAGACCAGAGCCCTAATAAACATATATTTAGAAAGGCAAACAGTTTAAGCATTACTCAAATCTTTGGGGAAATCTTAAAGGACGCTTTTATTAACAATAAAGAAAAGAAGACAAAAAAACTAACCTTTTTGTAGTAAACCAGGTCCCCTGTCAAATAGCTAAGGTGGACAAACTCCATATGCAGCGTACCAAATTCTGCCAGAATGCTGCTACCTGCAGATGCCCAGCCCCAGTTTCGCCCTACTCCACTAAATGAAAGGAAAAGTAAAAGGAAAAAGGATTGGGAAGAGACCAAAACAATTTTTAAATTAATATGTAAATTTTGAATAAATCTCTTAGAAATTATTATATATAACACAAGTTTATTTATATCTAAAAATTTTATTATTTAAAAATTTTGAATATGTAATATATCCATGTTTTAAAAATCAAAACAATATAAAAAGTATACAGTAAATATATTTCACACATTCTCATCTCCCTTCACCTCACAAGGCCCCAGAGACAACCACTTTCATTAGTCTCTTACATATTTAGTACAGAATATTTATGCATACAAAAGCAATCCAAATATATATTATTTTCCTCCTTTCTTAAACAAAATATAGCAAACTATATTTACTGCTCTGTACCTTGCATTTTACTCTTAAAGATGCACCTTAATGGTCTTGCCATAACAGTTCACAACAGCTTTCTCGTTTTTTTTAACAGTTGCACAGAATTCTATGATATTAATGATTCTCAATTGGAATGCCCGACCCCAGAGACATATGAAAATATATGACAGCATTTTGAGTTTTCTCAAAACTTGAAGATATAATTTGCATTTACTGTGCTAGGATCAAAGATACAAAATGTCCTGTGATGGTCAGGACAGTATCATACAATAAAGAGCTGTCCTGCCTCAAATGCTGGTAGTGTCTGTGTGAAAACTATTGCATTATATAAATAGATATAATTTCTTTAATCAATCTCCTATTGACAGTCCCTTGAGATATTTCCAATATTTTGTTATTACAAAAACTTTTACAGGACACATTTCATTTGTGGAGATATAACCTCTAGGATATGTTCCTGGTTTTGTTTTGTTTTTTTTAAGCTTGCCCTATAAGTTTTTTATTTGAAGCCAGACTATATAAATGAAAAATTATGGAAGCTTTGAGTAATGTTATCTTCTAAGAAGGATTGGTTTCTTCTGAAACACAGGTTGAGTTAAGGCAGATCATCTTGGTTTTAGGCTTTGTTAAGGATAGTCTATTTCAGTTCTACCCCTACTTCTAAATAATGACCCCCTGGGACCTCAGCTGAAAGCCAAGAGTGTTTACCAAGGCTCCTCCGTCTTCACAACCTTAAACACTAATCTCTATCTCCAGGTACCATGTGGCTGTTAAATTTTCTCTTTAGCCCTTTAGGCTCCTTCTGCAATTTTCTGCTGGGTTTCTTTGATTCTTGCTCCATGCATGTGCAGTTATAAAATCACCAATAACTTGAGGGAAATTTGCACATAAATTTGGGCTTTCCCTCTGCAATTCCTTTCTGTCTGAGATTTTGTCCCTCACATCACAGCCATTTTAGCAGCACCAAGACCTGACCATTGTCTCCTTTGGCCAAAATGACTGCCACTTTAGGCTTGGCCTCCTTTGCCCTGCACCACAGTCTTGTCCCTCACATCACAGCCATTTTAGCAGCACCAAGACCTGACCACTGTCTCCTTTGGCCAAAATGACTGCCACTTTAGGCTTGGCCTCCTTTGCCCTGCACCACAGTTTGGAACATGCCCTCAGAGAAAAAGACAATGTTTATATGGAGATGTCTTTCTTTTAGGATCACAGCCTCTCAAGTCCTACCTGAGTTAGTTGCTTTCCAATGCCTTCAAAGCATTTCATTTTTTATATTTTGCCAAGCTTTTATAATTGCCTTTGGTAGGAGTATAGTCTGACAAAAGCTATCCCATGCTTGGAACTGGAAGTCTAGATTAATTATTCAAGCAGCAGAGTTCATGGATTATTCCTATAGGAACTCTAAACCATTCTCTAGGGTCTTTTAGGAGGAAGTAAACATATAAATCTTCTTATCTTATATCCACTTGTATGTATACTGCCAATTCAATATGCTATATTTTATTTATCTGTGTTGAGAAAACATTAAAATAGATAACCAGAACATATCACTACCTTGCTTAAAGTTCCTTCATTGTTTGGTGCTATTTTTACACTGTCTTTGAAAATTTGGAAGGCACATACCACCAGCAGAATTTTAACAGCTAGAAGAGAGAATCAGAGAAGGAATACGGATATAGTAACTAAGTAAGACAGTCATTCGTTTCCAAATAAGAGCCTACTATGCTGTGGCAGAGATAGTAGTGAACCTGACCTATAACATTCCTGCTCCCAAAATAAATAAGGCTATTTTAAACAGTGATAGTTATTATGGAGAAAATTAAAGAGAGAGATAGAATATTGAGCACTAGGGACAGAAAGTCAGTTAGAAGAAAGGATCTTTATGTAATATGTTCAGAGAAAGTGTTTCTGAAATGATGCAATCTGACTGAGACCAACGATGGACAGATCTAGAAGAAGAGAATTCCCAGTGGGAGAAACAGCAAATGCAATGGCCCTGAGGGACAGAAAGGGAGCTAATGTGGCTAGAGTTCAGAAAGTATGGGGAAGTGAATGATATAGGATAAGGTTAGAGAACTAGGTATAATCCAGACTATGCAAGAATTCTGTAGGCCATGGTATAATTTTAAAATTTTTATTTTAAGTGTGATGGAAAGTCATGAAGGACTTTAAGGAATATAACATAATATTTAAGGAATAAAGCATACCATTTAGAAAGATTACCTAGGTTTCAGCACAACAAATAGATTACACTGTGTTCAAGTATAAACACAAAGCCTAGAAGTCCAACGATTTACCATTTCCCACAAAGGAAAGTTTTTTACCCACTGTAGATTCAAATACTTTTCAAAATACTAAATTCTAAACAAGGTTTTTTTCACTTTTTATTTTACATACAGCCTCACAGGAAGAATCTAAACCATTAAATTTGATACCTACATATATTCTGACAACTCAGAAAACTAAGAAAATCCCTAAGAACAGGAAATAACACTCCTGAGGACAGAAAAGTTCCAAATATAAAAAGATGATGAGCTGCCAAAAACTAATCTGATCATAACTGCATGCAAATGTTATGAATTTTCAACAGAGCAAAATAATAGGTATAGATGTTACAATTTAACATATATTATTATACATACTCAGAGGACCTAATAACAGAAAATTTGCAATGAATACCAAAAAACAAAAACAAACAAGCAAAAAATATGATTTCTCTTTTGGCTAACCTACCAGCAACAGGATTTTAGAAATGTGTTATAAAATTTTGATGATTTACATGGAAAATCAACATAAGTGTCCTACAATTGTATTAAATTGTCTTGATAATGAGTCATCTATATTTTGGTTTGTATTTTGTTCAAAGTCAGTTAAATATCCTTAATCACTTAATCAATGTATTCTAGGAATGGAGTAAAGCTTTTAGGGAATTGCAATTATTAGAAAAAAAACTTGCAAACAGGTTGATATTAAAATGTATCCCAACAAAAGCAAGGTATGAACAAAATTGAAGCATTCAATATGTAAGTTTAAGTTGGAATATCTTGACTTGTAGGAATAATCTTTTGATGGAGCTCCGGTTTTCAATTAGATATATTTATATTTTATAGTTCAGTGGAATAAAATTTAGAAGCCTTGTGATTGTGCATCATCTAAATTGGAAGAAATATTTAAGATGAATTAAAAGTCTTATTTTTCAATGTAAAAATATCTAATATTTGCAGAAGGTACTCTAAATGAAAGCAAAGTGAAAATACCTGGTCTGTCTGAAATATTACACATTTTAATATGCAAAAATATAGAACTGAGAACATCCTGCATTTAAGCAGAATTCACCCTGATCAGCTATAGAGGAAATACTTCCTCAAATAAAAGAATACAAAAGTCCACTGAAGATGTCAATAATTTCAAATTTGGAAATATGTACAAGGATGTATGTCTTTGTTTTTATAGAAATGATTTTATTTTGGATAATACTTTTTTAATAGAACTACTTTACAGGATATCCAATAAAATAAAACCAATTTTCAGTCATTAAATAAATACTTTTATAGTTAAATAATTTTAATTATTTTAACTCCCACATTCATTCTCAAAGTGCACACTTATGACTAACACACTATATGGTCACCATTATTATATGATGCCATAACCTGGTTTTTAAATTTTTTTTAACATAATGTATATATCTTCCCTATGGTATCATTTATATGGTAGCATATTATTTTATCTTATGGACTACCAAATTTGCTTACCAAATTACCTTCATCTTAGACTTTCAACCTGTACTCATGTTTTTGCTTTTATGAAATATGCTATGATAAACATCATTTTGTATATAGCAGTCCCCGTTTATCCACAGTGGATATATTCCAAGACCCCCAGGGGATGCCTGAAACTGCAAAAAGTACCAAATCTTACATACACTATGTTTTTTGGGTTTTTTTGATCTGATAACTGAGAAGACTACTAAGTGACTACCAGTAGGGTATTGTGGATAAGCTGGTCAAAGGGATGATTCATGTCCCCTGCTGGATAGAGTGGGACTGCACAGGATGGCATGAGATTTCATCATACTATTCAGAATGGCCTGCAATTTAAAACTTATTTATAATTTCTGGAATTTTCCATTTAATATTCCTGAACCACAGATGACTGTGAATCATGGAAAGTGAAACTGTGGATAAGGGGAGACGACTGTATGTCTTCCATATTAACCCATGCCTCCAATTATTTCCTCAGGGTAAACTGCCAGAAGTGGAATTGCTGGATCAAAAGAAACACATTTTAAGGGCTTTTGATAGATTATGATAGTACTTCCTGAAATAGTTTTTCTGCCACTCCTCTCACCACCACCACTCCATTACATTATGTTAAACCATCTGATATTGCCCCACCGGTCACTGGATATGTTCCTCCCCATACCCGGCTTTTTCTTTTTCCTTCTGTGCTTCAGTTTGGATGGTTTCTATTGTTGTCTTCAAGCTCACTAATCTTTTCTGATGCAGTGTCAAATCTGCTGTTAGACTTGACAAGTGAATTATTTATTTCATATATTTCCCAGGTCTAGAAGTTCCATTTTGGTCCTTTTTAAAATCTCTCTTCTCTTCACATCTCCTTTTAAATCC